GAGGACGCACAGAGACAGTTTGACCAACTGAGATGGAAACAAAGAGACAAACCTGGGATTATCAGTGATGGAACATCAGAAGTGGATTTTCTCAGACATGGACTAGTCGTTTAAACACACATACTCACACGCGTTTGGTGTGCTGAGGTGGACAGGAGCCAGAGTCGGCATGCAGGAATCTCCAGACGCCGTGGGTGTGGATGGCAGCTATGCCAGCAATGTTCCCGCCTTGCTCACCAAGCTGTGGACACTGGTGGAGGATCCAGATACCAACCACCTCATCTGCTGGAGTGCCATGAGTCTGCCTTCCAAACATACCACCCATCTGTTACGTTTTGAACGTGGAGAAGAACCCAAATCCGGACCGAGGTAAGAGTTTTTGTAAGAAAAATATATATTTTACAAAAATAAAACAAAAGGCTGTCAAGGCAGCAAAAAACTAGATAACAAGAACAACTAAGGAGAAACATAACAGTTGAGTGAAACCAAACAATGAGCCAGTGAGGGTGTGGAGTGAAAGACCACTATATATACTGTACAAATAGAGGTGAAGAAATTTATAGTTATTAGAGTTTAGTACTGATGTTAAAAGCACAACACTATATTTTTAGGTTTTCCTTTTTATAATGTTTAATCTATTATGTGTTGATTGATATAGATTAGTTACATGTCCAAAATATCTATAGCAACACATATTTATCTGTTATGAGAAATGTAGGTGAGAATTTTGTATGAATGCTCGTGATTCAGCCGTAGGTCAGTAGGGGGCGAAGGCAGGCATTGAAGACTCTGTATAAATGGATCAACTTCCATGTTTTGCTGGCAGTGCGTGGTTTCCTGTCAGCGGTGACAATAAACCCTCACTCCAGAATTCTGGTTTTGTATGGTTTTATTCCATCTAACAATCATATTATTTAACATTGGTGGTTTTCTATTTACTTCAGTCTTTGAGCACGAATATTTCTTACAGTTTTGGTGACCCCGATGTTTGTCTGAAGGTCGTGTAGGAAACTGCGGTGTTGGGGCTTAGGCTGCTAGCATCAGCAGGCCTTTGTAATCGACGTGCAGTCTGGGCGCAGGACACAGGTGAGCAAAACTCTTTTTTGCTTTCCATCTTGTTTACAGAACTGAACGATGCAGCGATCGGTGTTTGCTGGGGGCTGGGTTGTATGTGGGGGAGTTTAAATAGCCTCGCTAAGTATTAGCGTTGCTAGGCTAAGGCTGTGTGTCAGCTTAGCAACGACAACGTGTCGATCAGCATAGTCAAAATGAGCGTGGTTTAACGTGGACGGTAAGAGATGATTTAAAAGCGTTTAAAAGCATTTAAACATATCAGTCTGTGGGGGTTTAAAGCCATACAATTCAGTGTGCCCTTTTAAGTAGTGAAATGTGCTTTATATGTGTTTGGATGCGTGGTGTGTGTGATAATATCTTCTAGGCCGTTTTATCTGAGCTCTTTCAAAATCCTAGGGTGGGTCTTTCTGTAAAAGACTGCACTCAAAACAGGTGGGGGTACAACTTTATAATTGCATGGTGGCCGCACGAGCCGCCACCACCTGTAATGGTGGTCACGAGCATTGGGTTAGGCTCGTCAAAAGGAAAAATCCATGAATTGTAGTTGAGATTGCCTGGTGGGTTTTCACATGATTTTAAAAAAATCCTTGTTAAAGGTGGGGTTGTCATGCCAGCATTGGGAATAAATCCAGGGGTCGAACAGTTTTTTTTCCGTCTCTATCTTTGTTTGTGTATGAGAATGTGTGTGGGGTGCTTAGGTGTATAAATTATAAAAATGTCTGATAGATTTGTGGAAGATTTGCATAAATTTTATGATGGTTTTAAGGGGGTGTTTTAGAAAGAAGGTTGATTGTTAAAATAGCCTTGAATCAATCAATCAATCATTCAATCAAACTTTATTTATAAAGCACTATAACATCAGCCACTGCTGAAACTAAGTGCTGAACACATAAAATAAAAACATAACAAAATCACACAGTTAAATAAGTAAAATCAGCACCATTACAGTAAAAGTTGAGTAAAATCAAATCTCAGTTGGGTTGAAGGTCAGTGAGAAAAAATAAGTTTTTAAACGAGTCTTAAAAAGGGACAGTGAAGGGCCTGTCGGACATGTAAGGGCAAGTCGTTCCACAGTTTAGGGGGACTAACAGAGGATCCCCTCAACACCTTGGCTGCTCCTAGAAATTGTGTCCATAAAGTTATGTACAGAATCTGTGACAAAGGGCAACCTTGGCGGAGTCAAACTCTCACCAGAAACGAGTCCGACTTTCTACCGGCAATGTGGACCAAGCTCTGGTACTGGTCATACAGGGACCTAAATGTCTGTATCAATGGGCCTGGTGCCCCGTACTCCCGGAGAACCCCCCACAGGAGTTGAGGGACATGGTTGAATGCCTTCTACAAGTCCACAAAACACATGTAGACTGGTTGGGCGAACCCCCATGCACCCTCCAGGACCCTGCTAAGGATGTAGATGTAGGTCCACTATTCCACGACCAGGACGAAAACCACACTGCTCTTCCTGAATCCGAGATTCAACTATCCGACGGACCCTCCTCTCCAGGACCCTTGAATAGACCTTACCAGGGAGGCTCAGAAGTGTGATCCCCCTATAGTTGGAACACACTCTGCGGTCCCCTCTTTTAAATAGGGGGACCACCACCCCGGTCGGCCAATTCAGGGGAACTGCCCCCAATGTCCACGCAATATTGTAGAGTCGCGTCAACCAATGCAACCCCACAACATTCAGAGCCTTAAAGAACTCTGGACGGATCTCATTCACCTCCGGCGCCCTGCCACCAAGGAGCTTTTTAACCAACCACCTCAGTGACCTCAGCACCAGAGATTGGAGAGTCCGACCCAGGGTCCTCAGACTCTGCTTCCTCATGGGAAGACATGTAGGTAGGATTGAGGAGGTCCTCGAAGTAATCTGCCCACCGACCCACAACGTCCGAAGTTGAGGTCAGCAGCGCACCATCCACACCATAAATAGTGTTGGTGGCAAACTTCTTTCCCCCTGAGATGCTGGATGGTGGACCAGATACACCTCGAAGCCGTACGGAAGTCTTTTTGCATGGCCTCTCCGAACTCCTCCCATGCCTGAGTTTTTGCCTCAGCGACCACCTGAGCCGAAATCCACTTGGACTGCCGATACCTATTGGCTGCTTCCAGAGTCCCACAGGCCAAACAGACCCAATTGGACTCCTTCTTCAGCCTGACAGCATCCCTCACTGCCGGTGTCCACCAGCGGGTTCGAGTGTTGCCGCCACGACAGGCACGAACAACCTTACGGCCACAGCTCCGGTAAGCCGCCTCGACAATGGAGGCACGGAACATGGCCCAGTCAGACTCAATGTCCTCCACCTCCCCCGGAATGTGTTCAAAGCTACCCCAGAGGTGTGAGTTGAAGCTCCGTCTGATGAGAGACTCTGACAGACGTTCCCAGCAGACCCTCACTATATGTTTGGGTCTGCCAGGTTTGACCAGCATCCTCCCCCATCAACAGAGCCCACTCACCACCAGGTAGTGGTCAGGTGACAGCTCCTCCCCTCTCTTCACCCGAGTGTCCAAAACATGCGGCCGCAGATCAGATGAAACGACAACAAAGTCGATCAACAAAGTACTGCCTAGGATGTCCTGGTGCCAAGAGCACTTATGGACACCCTTATGCCTGAACATGGTGTTCGTTATGGGCAATCCATGATGAGCACTGAAGTCCAATAACAAAATACCGCTCGGGTTCAGATCAAGGGGTCCGTTCCTCCAAACCATGCCTTTCCAGGTCTCACTGTCATTACCCATGTGAGCATTGATGTCCCCCAGCAGAATGAGGGAGTCCCCGTTAGGAGCGCTCTCCAGCAACCACTCCAAGGACCCCAGAAAGGATGGGAAATCTGAACTGCTGTTAGGTGCATAGGCACAAACAACAGTCAGGACCCATCCCCCCATGCGTAGGCGGAGGGTGGCTAACCTCTCGTTCAACGGGATGAATCCCAACGTACAGGCACCGAGATGGAGAGCAATAAGTATGCCCACATCTGCTCGGCGACTCTCAACATGAGCTACTCCAGAGTGGAAGAGTGTCCAAACCATCTCGAGGAGACTGGTTCCAGAGCCAGAGCGGTGCCTTGAGTTGAGTCCAACTGTATCTAGTTGGAACCTCTCAACCTCACACACCAGCTCAGGTTCTTCCCCACCAGAGAGGTGACATTCCATGTCCCTAGAACCAGCTTCTGAAGCCGAGGATCGGACCGCCAAGGTCCCCGCCTTTGAACACTGCCCAACACACATTGCACCCGACCCAAACGGCCCCTCCCACAGGTGGTAAGCCCATGGGAAGGGGGACTCATGTCTCCTATTCGGGCTGAGCCCGACCGGGCTATATGGGTGGATTCCCGGTCAGCAGGCACTCGCCAACGTGCCCCACCTCCAGGCCTGGCTCCAGAGTGGGGCCCCGGTGACCTGCGTCTGGGCGAGGGAACACTTAATCCATTTATGGTACTCATCATAGGGGTCTTTGGCCTGCACTTCGTCTGATCCCTCACCTAGGACTTGTTTGCCTTGGGTGACCCTACTGGGGGCATGAAGCCCCCGACAACATAGCTCCTAGGATCATTGGGACACTCAAACCTCTCCACCATGATAAGGTAGCATCCCAATAATTGCACTAATTTTTCAACAAAATCTTGCATTGATGATGGTAGAGTCTGACCTTCTCCAGCACATCCCAAAGGTTCTCCATGGACTCTGTGGAGCCAATCCATGTGTGAAAATGTCTTATGCTCCTTGAACCACTCTTTCACAAAAAGAGCCCGGTGAATCCTAGCATTGTCATCTTAGAATATGGCCGTGCCATCAGGGAAGAAACAATCTATTGATGGAATAACCTGGTCATTCAGTATATACAGGTAGTCAGCTGACCTCATTCTTGGAGCTCATTCTGTGGCTGAAGCTAGACCTGACCACCTGCAGCAACCCCACATCATATAGCTTAGTTGAATCCAGGTGGAGATTTTTTTTTTTTGGCCGGCAGTGCATTTTGCAGGTAAAATGTGTAAAACAGTTTCTGCCCCATCAGATCGATGTCAGCAGGAGATCAATCGAGTTCTGGATGGGAGGGATCGGGTCAGTTTTGAGGACAGACACAACATGCCTTACGTGCAGGTGATGAGCATCATCACACACACCTTTTCTGTTAATCTGAATGGTTAATCTGAGAGGCATGCCTGAATGTGTTTCTATCAGATAAACTGCAACTTTTCTGAGATTTCTTTCTATATGATACCTAAAATTATTTATTCCAAGACAGATAGTTTGTAATATCTCTGTTGTAATCCACGCTGTAATCCATGAAGTCCAGAGGGTGGCCAACACTGTTCCTCTCAGTGCCTTCCACTGCTCCACTAAAGACACAGAGCTGATGGGATGTGACATTCCCAAGGTGAGAATCTTTAAATTTACACAAGAATATTTAAAAATTAAATATTATCTTTATTGTCTTTTTTCATACCTTTGGTTTCCCTTCAGGCAACATTAATCATCCAGAATATGGAGTCAGTGCTGAGGGAGGAGGGTCAGTGGAAGTTCCCTCACGAGTTCAGTCCTGAGAACTTCCTGAACGAGCAGGGAGAGTTTGTCAAACCAGAGGCCTTCATGCCATTCTCTGCAGGGAAACCAGTGAAACACTACTTTCAGACCTGGACTACAGGGACAGAGTTTATTAGATCAGACAAGAACTTTGGTTCATTTTCTGGTATCTCAGGTCCTCGGATGTGTCTGGGAGAGGGTTTGGCTCATATGGAGCTGCTCCTCATGACGGTGACTCTGCTGAGGAAGTTTAAGTTCATCTGGCCAGAGGATGCTGGAGAACCAGACTTCACTATGGTTTTTGGGGTAAAGTTGACTCCAAAACCTTATATGATGAAGGTCCAGCTGAGGTCTGAATAGTGAGGAGGTGCAGACGCTCTGCAGAAAATGATGAAAGAACTGATCAGTTAAATAATCTGGTCATTGTCAAATCTTTTGGACACAATTCCTTGGTGGATTTCAATTGTTAACTCAGAAGCTTGAAATCTATACTTTTTCCAAATATATTTCAACTCCAAAGATCCTCTGACTGTGTCCCATATTTTCTCCTGATCATCTCATCAACATCCTCACTGATCTCACTGAGGCTGAGAAAGTTGCACAGAGATTTGCTTTGTGTGTGAAATCTAAATTGTGAGAGAGCAAAGAGATCGGTTCTCACTCGTTTAAATTTTAACATTTTTACAGCGCTTTATGTCAGAGATTTAACAAGTTAAAAACACTCATTAATCCTGATCGGAACCGCAGTGTCAGAGAAATTTCTCATGGAGAAGACGAGAACAAAAAGTGGTATAAAAGAAAACCATCTGTTAAACTGTAAGAAAATTTAGTGTTCTTTAACTGAAAGATGGAAAGGTTTACGTTTTAATAAATATATATAATTTGTATATCAGGCTCTGCTGGATGGACTACATTAAAGTTAATAGAAAAAGATATAAAGTAAAGGGATCCCTTTTGAGTTGGATAACAATATGTGCATACAGTACAACATTAACATTATGGGATACTTAAAGATCTTATACATTTGTTATAAGAGGCCCCGGCAAAATAAGGTAAGACTGGTTATCAGAAAGCTGTTGAGGATCCGCCCCCTTATTACACAGCAATATCTCACTTCCTGATTTTTTATCAATCATTTGTGTGTTTGATGTCCTCGCTCCATTTGATAAGAAAATGTCAAAGTTCGGAGCCAGAGTCACCAGAGTTGAGTCCAATCCAGCACCATGTTTGTCTCCATAGTTCTGCTGTGGTTCTGTTTCTGCTTCATCCTCTTTCAACTTCAAGCTCGGAGACCCAAGAACTTCCCACCAGGACCCCCCATCCTGCCGGTACTGGGGAACTTCTTGCA